CACCCCGCCCCCACCCCTTTCTGCTCAGACACTAACAGCGCCTCCTCTCCCCTCTCCTCACAGGAGCACGACGCCATGGAACGCGGAGCAGCAGCAAGTCCTCGACCTGCACTTAAGAATGATGCGCGACGATCGCCCAAAGCTGGTACGGGTCGAGGGTCCGGCAGCGTCCGGAAAAAGCAACCTCATTCAGGTGAGAGCCCGCTGCAGGTGGCGAGAGCGCTTTGCAGCTGCACGCGCACGCGGCTGGTGGGGTGCGGGGTGCTGCGGGGTGCTGTTGGCTGATGGCGACAATAATGTTTGTTCACAGGAGATGGCAATGCGGACGCGTCTCCACTACGAGGATGACGACAGCGTTCTCGTACTCGCCCTGACCAACGCAGCTGCGGACGCGATCGGCGGCCGCACCTTTCATCGTGCCCTCGCCTTGCCCACTGACACGGCCTACGAGCCGCTGAGGAAGTCCGAGATCAAAGCCCTGGGCCTCAGAGCCGTGAGGGTTGTCCTAATCGACAACTTTCAACAGTGCAACACGCACATTCTGAAAGCGGCGGACCGCCGATTCCGACAGGTACGCGCGGCGAGGACTTACTACTACCTTCCACTCCTCAGCAGTCGGCTCCTCCATGTGAAGGCACTTGCTCATCTCATGTGGCGTTGTTGCAGGCGTCGAGCGAAAACGGCGATGAGCCGTTTGGAGGGCGGATTGTGGTGGCGTGCGGGGACTCGAGCTCCTGGGGGCCCGTGCCGAGCAAACTGGACGGCAAGGAGCTAACCCGGCTGCAGAAGATGTCGCCAGCCGTCCAGCTCCGCGCCACATACTTCAGCAGCGCATCCTTTGGTGCGGCCATGGCGAGACTTGGTCACGGTGACGTCACGCAGGCCGACCGGCTGCTCTACAAGTCGCGGCTGCTGACCAGCTTGCCTCCAGAGGAACAGAAAGAGTTCCTTGCCGGGCCGAGGGTGATCGTGAGGAAAGACGACCGCGGCGACCAGAACAACTCCAGGTACAGAGGCACCCCCCGCGGCGCCTGGCGCCTCTGGCTCGACTGCTGCCTCCTCGTTGTACAACACTTGTTAAACACTGATGCATTTCTGTTTCAGAGCGAAGCGCCCTGCCGGCGCGGGTGCGCGCAGCTACCGCAGGGCGGGTAACGACCCCAGATGGGTGACCCTATGGCCCGGGGCGCCCGTGGTGCTGACCACCACCCTGGAGGACGTGGCGGAGGCGGGCTCCCAGGGAGTTGTGAGGGCCGTTTCGTCCAGTGGTGTGGAGGTGGAGTTTGAGGAGGACGCCGCTGCGTCCGTGGTGCCAAACGGGGAGAAGGGGTTGCCCCTCGCCGCCCCCGCCGCGTACACCGTCCCCACTGTACAGGGCTTACGCTTTGACAAGGTAAGGCCTGTGTAGCCGCAGAGCAGCGCGACATGTGCACCGCGGTCATGGCATATGCCTCCAATTGCACAACACGACTTCCTGTTGCAGCTGCTGGTCGAGCTGCCCACGAATGGCTGGGGCCGTAGCACGCTGCAATACGCCGCCCTGACCCGCGCCAAAGGCTGGACGAGCTTGGCCTTCAAAGGACCCATGACACCACAAGGGAAACGGAGCTACAGCTGGCATCCCTACTATTAATAAATATGCCGTTGCGTTGTCATTCGCATTTTTATTACAATTTTCTAGAGTAAGATATTATACAGGGACCACCCTGTATTTTTTGTTTTGTTTATCTTGACACGTTAGATCGCATAGGACCATAAAAGGTCAAAATTGCACGTAACTTCCTGCGACTTATACATGTCATATTTTTATCTAGAATAAGATATTATATTTGCCATTTTGTTTATCTTTACATGTTAGATCATATAGGACCATATTAGGTCAAAATTGCACGTAAATTTCTGAGACTGATACGTGTCACATTTTTATAATAATAAAAGTCGTTGTTCTCATCTACCGCTCTCTGTCACCACCCTGATCCTTCCGTCTCCAAGCCACCTAACTATTTTTTTCTGACGCATGGCGTCAATTCTTCGTTTGCCTTTGATTTCTGACAAGTTCCCAGAACCCAAGGGTTCCCCCTGCCTGCACCCCAATTGCAGTGTGGCGCCGGACCGAGCCGCCAGCCCCACACAGCTGCTTGGCGGGCTAGCCTGCCCAGCGTGCCGCGGGCGCGGGCGCTATCATGCGCGCAGTAGGGCGGGCATTGTTGAGGTAGTCGAGGATTCGGCTGGTGCGGAGTCCGACAGTTCGTCCTAGGTGCTGATAGTGATTTTACAGTTGGGGAAGGCTGTCTTGAGTTTCGGCTAATATGTAAGTATGAACAGTCTACGTTTGTAACTCCCCTGTCAGGTACGCACACATGATCCCATTATGAGCTGCAAAGTTAGGCAGGCGGGTGCTCCTCGAGAGCATCCGAATTATTTCAAGATAAAGGTTTCCGGACTGAAACCTTTTATCCTGCGCACGCGCCCGCCCCGTCTTCTTCCACAGGGTCTTGCAGTGGAACCCAGAGCAGACGGCGGTGCTCAAACTCTTCCGTCGCATGCTGAGGCGGGCCGACTCCCCGAGGCGCATCCGGGTCGAGGGGCCCGCGGCGTCGGGGAAAAGCGCGCTCCTGCAGGTACACAGTACCCGCTGCTGCGGTCGGAGCGGGGCAGGAGTCGCTGACGGCCGTCTGCTCGTTCAGGAGATGGAGAGCCTGAGCCTGGCGCGGTGGCCGAACGGCGTGATGGTGCTGGCGCCCACCAACACGGCGGCGGACGCCGTCGGCGGCCGCACCCTCCACCGCGCCCTCGGCATCCCCAACACCGCGCCCTACGCGCCCCTGGACCAGGCCGCTCTGAGCGAACTCGGCCTGGGCGCGGTGCGCGTCGTGTTGCTGGATAACTACCACCAGGTCAATCCGCACGTTTTGTACACCGCAGACCGGCGCTTCAGGCAGGTATGCGGCGAGAACGTCAACTCGCAGGCTGTAGCCTCCAGGATCGCCGAGCTGTTCCTCCCACGGGGGCCTGCTTCACGTTGCAGGCGGCGGGCAGCGACGGGGAGCCGTTCGGCGGGCGGATCGTGGTGGTTTTCTCAGACGACCGGTCCATACCCCCTTATCGGAACCCGGCGCTGGACAACGGGCTGGACTACGTGCTGGACACATTCAGCAGCCCCGTCCTCACCCTCTCGACGACGTATTTCGCGGACCCGACGTTTGGCGCCGCCGTGGGCAGGCTGAGGGCGGGCGCCGTGTCGGCGGCCGACAGACAGATGTACGACACGAGGAAGCTGGAGGTCTTGGAGCCGGAGGATCAGCCCGCCTTCCTGGAAGGGGCGAAAGTGTGCTACAATAAGGACGACTGCGCCCACTTTAATCACGTCTATAGGCGAGTGCACACCCGCTTAACCTGGACCTAGATCCTCACATTACGGTGACGCCGTCTTTCCCTCTGGCGTGTTACAGAGCCGGGCACCCGGCGGGCACCGGCGCGCGCACGTTCGCGAGGGAGGGCGGCGAGCCCAACGCGACGGTCACCGTCTGGCCGGGCGCGGCCGTCGTCATCACCAAGAACCTGCCCGACGTCGTGCAGGCCGGCTCTCAGGGGGTTGTCGCAACCGTGGCGGCCGGCGATGTCTTGGTGCGGTTCGCCGAGGTGCCAGAGGGCGCCGCCGCCGCCCCCATGTTGATGGTGCCGGACAGGGGGGACGGGCTGCCGCTCGCCGCCCCAACCGCCTACACAGTCCCAACCGCGCAGGGGCTCCGGTTTGACAGGGTGAGGTTGGACAGCACACACGTGTGCGCACAAATCAACCGAAAATGATACAGCATCGCACACGACTTTTCGCCTGAATGTTTTTTCACAATTTCCATCGAAAATGTGAATTGCATAACATTGCAACATGCTATCAAATTCATGCTGAGAAATTGAGTATGAGTACAAATTGAGTACGAATTTCGGGTCGACACTGGGCGTTGGCAGCTTTATTGCTTCTGCTGCGCTAACGATAGCGCCTGCGACACGCTGGGTAGGCCAGCCCGCCGAGCAGCTGTGTGGAGCCGGCGGCCCGCTCTGAGCGCGCGTGTGCAGCAGGGGGGCTGGCGGAGCTAGACCCCCC